TCAGGATACAATAATTTAAACTCCACGCAAGTCATTTAGTGAAGGACAAGCAGGTGCCAAGGTTCTGCAGCTGGGAATTGAAACCCTCCGTTCATGGCCATTACTGCAGACCAGTGTGTGAAGCATCAGCATAAACCGAGTTGGTGTGGGGCAGACTGCCTGCCTGCCTGCAACTGACACCAGCCTCCATCAGTCAGCACATCATGGGCTTAAAAATGCTGGGTATTACGTGGAGGGGCAAAAGAAGATACTGTCTTTTCTCCTAAAATATCACGACAAATCTTGAGCTGTGCCGTTTTTGGAAGGAGAGCCGAGGTTGGCTTGCTCAGTGCTCTGATGGGAATGTTTGGGTCAGGGTTTTCCTGGCTGTCCTGCGTGGAAGGTGCACTGTGCTGGTGCCTGGTGCCAGCGGAGGGTTTTGCTCTGGTGCAAAGGGCTGGCTCTGGCGGGTGGAAGCCTCGCGGGGCTGTATGGCCTCCCTTTGCTGGTGAGGTTCAATGGTACACATTATCTTTACAGACTTGTTTCGTTCCTTACATCAAACCGTTCCGTGATCTCAGGGGCTTCTGCTGATAAAGTGATCCCGTGTAGGGTTATTGCTGAATCCGTGGTTCTTGGCCAGGGTGTTTCATTTTTCAATTTGTAACTTCTTAAATCCCTCTGCACCCTAATCCATGCAAATACATGCTCAATATGTCTATATTTTTCCAGGCTTTTCCCCCTCAAAATGAAGTAAGATCATATTGATCGAAGCTTTGGTCTGCTGATAGTACATATCGTACCGATTTCAAGCTTCACATGGCATTCTTTAGTTATATCCTTTCTGCTCCTATTCCAGACTTAATTTGAAGTCAGATGACTCTTCCACTGAGTCAGTTCTAGAATCCAGTACCTCCCTCTTGCTCCCAGCACGTTCTGCAGGTGGAATTGCCACGGCATTTTGCTCTTACTTACCTTGCATCTGCCCAAAACAGCCTCACAGAGAGGGTGAAACGACCCTCCAGCTGGGACAGCGTCGCGGTCGGACTTCTGGAAGAGGTAACTGGAGGATTTGTTGGGAATGTGTGGATAACTGTGTAAGGAGAGCAGCAAAAGCAGCAGCTCAACCTGTATGAAAGAGACTCCAGAAGGAACACGGGAGCCTATAGGAGCAAATATGCCAGGTTGGCTTCCCCACGTAGGGCTTGTCCTGGCCTTGAACATGGCCCTTCTTGTCCTTGAGCCACTTCCACTTGAATAGTTTATGGACAGAAAGCACAAAGGGGAAGGAAACCTCTTTTCAAAGGCAGTGCTGCAAAGTCTGTGCAAATAGTAAGCTGCAGCTGGCTTTTATGGGAGCTCCTCCGGAATTTGGCCATAACTAAGGATAATATAGATGCTGCTGGATTTCCTGGCATCTAGAGAAGCGCTTAGATTAATCAGTGGTGATGATATGTGATTGCATTCCGCTCTGCAGAGCTATCTCCATCTGAGAGGAGGGGGTAGCACCACAGATGTCCTGTCTAGGGAGCTCCATGTGCGGATTTATCAAACCAAGGGTGAGGCTGGCCGAGCGGCCTCCTTCACAGTCTGGCTACACCTTGAGAGAGCGCTCGTAGGAAACTGCTTGTCTGCTTTTTATTGGATTAGCATCGCAGCGTTCCCGGTGCGGCCCAAACCCGCCTCTAGCTGCCTGGAATTTAAGTTTTCCAAGAGCTGCCGGCGCCGTGTGCCCCGCTGTAGAAACCTACCTCTAGCTGCCTGGAATTTAAGTTTTCCAAGAGCTGCCGGCGCCGTGTGCCCCGCTGTAGCTGCAGAGCTGGGTGCCAGCGCGGTCTCCTCGTGGCCCCGCTCCAAGCGGGGGTTGTTTCGGGCCAGGCCTGGGCGCTTTGCTGGGTTTGGCCTCCCTGTGCAGGACCATGTCCCTCTGCACGCCCGGCTGACCGGGAGCTTCAGGGCTGTTTTGTGTGACTGCTCTTAGCGTGCCTAAGTAGGGCTCCCTCGCAGTGAAATATTGCAGGAAATGGGAATACGGAAGGGAGGGGGCTGTGTTAATGCTTAGGCAAGTCTTCCCTCCTTGATTGCCACAGGAGCGACCGTGTTCATGCAGGTCTGTGCTGGAGCCGGTAGCGTGCGCGGTTGGGGCTGCGGCCGCCCCGAGAGCGGCCGGGCTCGCGTGGAGCAAACGCTCAACGTGGCCGCGGCCCCCGGCGAGCGGGGCCTGCTCCGTGTCCATGTCCCTGCTCCGTGTCCGTGTGCGTCAGCGCCCGGGGAGCCGGGCGGCGTTCCCAGGACGGGCCCCTCCGGTGCTCATCCGGCCGGGAGCTGCCTGGTGCTCCATGCTCGGTGCTTGGGGCCCCCAGTGTTTCTAGGGGCTGCCACGGTGCTGCAGCTGCGCAGAGCAGCTGGGCAATAGATCCATAGAGCTCGATGCTCCGGGGAGTCTGCGCGCGGCAGAGGAGGGATTGGAGGAGCAGATTAGTGCTAAGAGGCTGAAGAGAATTTAGAGGTGTCATTAAAACGAGTAATGGTTAAAACACTCATCTAACCCCGCGCTGCAGCGGTGCCCGGAGGCAAGAGCAGCCCTGCAGTGCCCTGAGGAGTTGGGTGGGCAGTGGGAAACTGTCTCCCAAGCTCCCATCTCCACCACCCAAGGAGACACAGGAGGGCAGGGGCCCTCCCAGGGACAGGAGGAGGTTGCGTGACCAAAGGAGCCTCCTCTTGGCTAGGGTCACTCGTTAGGTGGTTAATTACAGCTGCAGGGAATTGCCTGTGTCCCGCTCCCGGAGCCGCCCGCTGCCTGCCGGCAATCCACGGCTCACCGGGATTCCCTTGGGACACGCTGAGGTTTGTGCCCACGCCGACCAGCACATCCCCTCCTTCGTTACCTGCCCGACAAAGGCTGCGTAATTAACAGTGACAACAAGAATACTTTTTTATTATGTAATTGAAACACCGAATCAAAGTCCTAATGAGTTTGCACCTCAAATACTGTGAAGCAAATTACCAGCAATCCTGTCTCTAATGAAGCACTTTAGACATTGCAGTTGGAGTTGCTTCTCCGCAGAGGGCAGCGGGGTTGGAGATGCGCAGGAATGGGCCATATTCCTAGAGGAATGGCCTGTGTTCCCATGGGAATGGCCCGTGTTCCCACAGGAATGGCCCATGTTCCTGTGGGAATGGCCCGTGTTCCTGCCCCTGGCAAGGGGGTGTCCCGTGCGGTCGTGCGCTGAGCGTGGGACTGTGCTGCACGTGGGCTGCTTTCCTAAAAGCTGTAGCAATGCTACAGGAGCATAAAGCATAAGGAGCTTATATACATATAAATAAATATACACATATATATATATAGCTTTGTGCTGTGAGCGAGGCTTCCCGCGCTCCTCAGCATCCCCTGAGGGTGGCAGAACCTCCCAGCAGGGCCGTGGCAGGTCGGACCCGCAGCCTTTCTGGCCACACGCTGCTCCCAGCACCCGGTTTGGGGAGCTGGAGGCAGTTTGGTCCATTCAGTGCCACAGTTTTGCAAGGAAAGGAGCAGGGATAGATGCCTCAGAAGCATGAAAGCTGAAATAGAGTGTGTGTGTCTTAAACTTGCTCTGTTTGCTGCCAACTCTTGACTGAGTGAGGTCCACTGTCAGGGCCAAGGTAAAGATTATGCTAAACGGTCACTCAGACGACAGCCAGCAGTCAGGACCGCAGTAACTGGTGACGTTTCTTTCTTTCCCTTGCAGAACCTGAGCTCCGGGCTGCCCTCGGGGCAGGTCTGCCACGACGAGCAGCGGCTCGAGGTGATCTTCGCAGACCTGGCCAGGCACAAGGATGACGCCCAGCAGCGCAGCTGGGCGCTCTACGAGGACGAGAACGTCATCTGCTGCTACCTGGAGGAGCTGCTGCGCATCCTGGTGGGTACAGCCCTTCCTTTGTACGTGTAGCAAAGCACGTAAGTCAGTCCCCTTCACAAAGCATCATAGAAATGTCCTTCATGGTAGGTGTAGTCTTTACCTGTTGTAGGAAGTAAAGTTCACCTCTAAAATAATCCAACCTGCCCCAGCAAGCCTAGGGGTTTGCTGTGAGGGTCGTTGCACTCCTTGGCCCATTTTGGACTTCTTCCTTGTCTGGATGTGTGCGCAAGCCGGGCAGCATCAGACGCACCTGTAGATTGCATCGTAAATGCTCGTGTCTTTCTCCTGATCTCAACACATGGCTCATGTTCCTGCTGTGGGGCCTGCAGAGCAAAGGAAAGTGGATTTTGTGCAACAGTTTCCTCATAGTTTGGGAATGAGGGGAGATGTTCCCAGGATGGGAAAAGTACTGTTTTTGCTGCGTGTGGCTTCAGGGTGCACTCTAAGTACTGCTCAGGTCATGGTTTCAGATGATCTCACTCCAAGCAGCACTGCATGGCAAAGATGTCTCTTAAGAATCCACTTTGATACAGAATCTGCAATGTGGCTGGCCCTTCCTGAGCTGTCTTCATGGTCCAGCTTTGGTTTCTTTGCAAGCTGGTTTGGCTGGGGCTACAGAAACCTAAAAGAAAGCAGTTTGCCCCAAGCTAGAATTGCAGCAGTTACCTTGCGTCTTTGAGGTGTCACTGCACTGACCTGTTCATTTGTGTTTCCAGACAGATGCAGACCCAGAAGTTTGCAAGAAAATGTGCAAGAAGAATGAGTTTGAATCGGTTCTGTCCCTTGTGGCGTATTACCAGATGGTAAGGTGGCAGGATGCATGGAATCTCCTCTGGAGCTTTCCCTGAAGATGCACAGGAGTGGGGTCACGGTGCAGAACGTGTAACGCTGTCCCAGCAGCCAGGGCAGCTCCATGAGCCACACGGAGCTCTGGGGTGTCCCTTTGGCATGCTGGCCAGTGCCAC